CTGGCTGGAGCAGCCTTGGTGCTTCCAAAGGTGGCCACTTCAAAGTCACACAGGCAGCCTTCGGCCGCTCCCCTCCGTGCCTCCAAATCGATCCCCAATCAGAGAGAGAGAGAGGGAGGGAGGAAGGGAAGGAGGAAGAGAGGGAGGGAGAAAGAGAAAGAGGGAGAAAGAGAGGGAGAGAGAAATAGAGAGGGAGAGAAAGGGAAAGAGGGAGGGAGAGAAAGACAAAGGGAGAAAGAAAGAGGAAGAGAGAGGGAGAGAGAAATACGGAGAAAGGGAAAGAAAGGGAGAGAGAGAGAGAAAGGGAGGGAGAGAGAAAGAGGGAGGGAGAGATAGGGAGAGAGAGAGAGAGGGAAAGAAAGGGAGAGAGAAAGAAAGAGAGAGGGAGACAGAAATAGAGAGAGGGAGAGAAAGAGAGGGAGAGAAAGAAAGGGAGAGAGAGAAAGAGGGAGAGAGAAAAAGAAAGGGAGAGAGAAAGAGGGAGAAAGAAAGGGAGAGAGGGAGAGAGAAAAAGGGAGAGAGGGAGAAAAAGAAAGGGAGAGAGAGAAAGAGGGAGAGAGAAAAAGAAAGGGAGAGAGAAAGAGGGAGAGAGAAAGACAGAGGGAGACAGAAATAGAGAGGGAGAGAGGGAGAGAGAAATAGGGGGAGAGAGAGAGGGAGAGAGAAAAAGAGAGAGGGAGAGAGAAATAGAAGGGGAGAGAAAGGGAGAAGGAGAGAGAGAAAGAAAGAGCGAGACAGAGAGGGAGAGAGAAAGAGGAAGAGAGAGATTAAATTAGTAACATGGTTGTTAAGTGAATCTGGTTTCCCAACTAACTTTGCTTGTTAGAAGGTTGCAAAAGGTGATCACATGATCCTGGAACAATGTGACCATCATAAATATGAATCAGTTGCCAAACATCGAAATGTAAATCACATGACCCTGAGGATGTTGCAACGGTCATAAGTGTGAAAAATGGTCATAAGTCACTTTTTTCAGTGCCGTTGTAACTTTGAACAGTCACTAAGCAAACTGTTGTAAGTCAAGGACTACCTGTACTTTATCACTTTTTTCCATTTTTTTTGGGTCAAGTTTTTGACACCTTGCTAGGTGACTGGTGGTACTCGAATGTTGCCATATTCTAAAAGTGGTACAATCGGTGAAAAGGTTGAAAAGCCCTGATCTAAATAATATTATCAGTAGGAGTGAATCCACTGTTTTTCCAACAAGATTGGAAATACTTTTATTTTTAATGTGATGGTGTAATAAATTCTAATCTAGGAACTCTCAGTTTCATTGCTTAATTTTCTTTCCATCTTACTGCTTATCTTCAAACCCAGATTGTTTTTGTGATTAATCACTATGCTTTAATTATGTTCAATTTGTAACAATGAAAATACATCCTGCATATCAGATATTTACATTAAGATTCATAACAGTAGCAAAATTACAGTTATGAAGTAGCAACAAAAATAATTTTATGGTTGGGGGACACCACAACATGAAGAACTATATTAAAGGGTCGCGGCATTAGGAAGGTTGAGAACCACTATTTTAAACGATCTTTAAAGTTTTGAGGTCTAATATGGTATTTCATGAATATGTCGTCTTTCTAAATTGATAAATACAAATAATGTTTATAGCCATGGAATCATGTTGTCTCTCAAGAAAACAGATGTCGATTTTAAAAATACCATTACTATTTGCAAAAGAGCAATTCACTGATTAAAAAGGTAAACATCTTTTACCTGTGTTCAAACAAGGTGAATAAAAACAAGACTTCAAAATGGTATTAAAGTAGTGGTTCTTATAATTAGTACTGCCTGTAAAATGTAAAATATTTTGTTTTACCATTTAAGCAGTGTATATAAATTGTTTGTATTCCAAAAGAATAAAATATAAAATACTCATGTTCCATGGTCTTTTAGAACACCGTTAAAAGTTTCAAGTTTTGCAGAAAACTGCCTCCTGAAAACAGAACCTTTGTTTTTATTACTGTAGTGTATGGGATATGTCCTTGATAGAAATCGGCAAGAACCCTTATATAAGAAATATAATTTCTTATATAATTCTTATATAATTTCTTATATAATTCTTTTAAGTTCTGGGTAGCAAGATAGTATAGATAATTGCTTAGTGACCATTTGAAGTTACAATAGACCCCTTCCACAAAGGTACTTATCACTTGATTTCGAAACAATTCAAACAAGTTCTTGATTCACTGGGATATAAGAAGTAAAGCACATTGGGCTGACAAAATTCTGTTGTCAAAGTCTATCTAAATAAAGTGTAGGTTTAGTTTTCTGATGGAGTTGCTTTTCTGATCTGATGTGATCTGATCTACCTAGCTGGGCTAACAATGACCGGGCCACAAGAACAGTTAAAACTGACAGATGCCATGCGTCGTACCTGGCCTGGCAATTTTTTCACCACAACTATTTTTAAAGTTGTTATTGTCATGCTTAACTTAGTCTCTGAAATGGTTTTACTTAAGTAGATTGTATTGCTCCCTACCATACCAGGTTCATGCTAAGCTCTTATGCTAAAAATATCTGACTATATGAACCATTTGTTGAGCCTGCTGGAGATGAACTTAGATAACCTTTATTGTCATTTTTATACTGTGGGCACAATGGCACACATCAAAAATGAAATTTAGTTGCCCGCTCTCAAAGTGAAACACATACATGACACACACCTAAACATACTATGAACAACATATGTATAGACCCACATACGTAGCAATAAATATTAATGTTTTCTGCTATTAAGCTGTAGTGTATGTGAAGTTTCTAGTTGTTTATTGACTAACCAAACCTACAATTGCAAAAGGAAATAAATGAAGGGAATAATATATAATTCAAATAATAATCTGAAATATATTTCATATACTTGATTATTGAAATTGCACACTCAGAATACTTCTGTTTGAATTATAGGATTCATTCATTATTTGTGGAAAGGGATGTTCTCCTACAAGAAAAGATGGAACTTCCCCACTTATATGGCAAAATACAAGAAGCCACTGATCTAACTTTTGGATTAATTCATTATACAGCGACCTTGTAACTTTCAACTTTACAACTGTGATAAGGAAAAATAAGGCATTCATGTATTAATTTCTCTTGAGACCTGTGAAAACTGTAATTTGAAGTTGAATGGTAGTTAAAATATATGTAAGCTGAACCACCAAATCTCAGAGTAATTACTTTTACTGCATTTGATAAAAGTACATTTATGTCTCTCTGAAATGACTTCTTGGGGATGGGGAGGTCTGGGATGGTACAGTCTGTCTAGAATTCAGATATTTTAAAAAATAAATCTTTGGACCTAACCAACCAGAAACTTAAAATTCACAGGGAACCAGCTAATAGAATTGAGTGATCTTCATATTAAGTCATAATATAGTTCATTTTTTTTTATAGAATGTCATGCTCTCTGTTTGCTCTCCACCACACTTAAGCAAATATTGACTTATAAGGAAAGTGAAGGTCCTCCTTGCTAGATGCAGAGATCATAATAGAAAGTTCAGAATAATTAGATGATATTTTTTATACTGTTCCAACTAGGAAATCATGCTGATATAGATGGATATTGAGTTCCTTCTAACTTTCAAGAACTGGGTACAAAGCAAATACATGGACAATTCTTTGGATCTAGGTACAGTTGTCATCCTCCCAAATACAAAATCTGCTCATGATTCTAATGTAAAGTGGACAGTTTATTGAAACAGAATCCATAATTAGCATACTGTCTACATTATGCTGGTCTATACATAACAAAGGAGTAGTTGTTCCATTAGCAGTAGTTGTTACTACAGAAGAAAATTGGGTAGACTTCAGTGTTTACATGAAAAGGTGGTTATTGTTGAAGTTATCTAGTAAAATTGTAACCTAAATAATAAGAGACGACTATGTAAAACTTCTGATAGTTGAACACTAAATAAAACAAAAAATAAGACTGCAAGCTGAGGTATCAGATAACGAAGTTAAAATATATAATGGTTGTGTAGGATATACTGTATGGGTAGGGTAGGAAACACAAATTATAAATGCTAAATTCCAGATATCTTTTCAGTCCTGCAGAAACCAAAACATGTCTTACTATCCTTAAGTTCCAGTTGAAATATTCAGAAAAATTGAAATCTGCCATTGCTTCCAAACCTCTTCTCTTCCCTGATACTAAATATATATTCACAAATCTGCCTGATGGATGAAACCTGGGATTCTGAATTTCCTTTAGAACAGTGATGGTGAACCTTTTAGAGATCGAGTGCCCAAACTGCAACCCAAAACCCACTTATGCATCGTCAGGTGCTGGGTGGGTGTGGCCCATTGGGTGGGCGTGGCTACAGTGGTAACAGTAGACTGGGTGGGACTAAAAAGTTCAATCAATCAATTCCAACTTTGCGAGATCTTTTTTTTCCCCATGAGAAGTTGAAATTGACTGATTGAACTTTTTTTTTTTGCACACGGTGGCAGAGGCCTAAAGCGAAAAGGTTTTATAAAACCCAGCTGAAGGCCTAGGACTGGGGCGACGGCGCGCGGGCCCACAGAGAGGGCTCTGAGTGCCGTCTCTGGCACCCGTGCCATAGGTTCGCCACCATTGCTTTAGAACTATTCTTTCCCCTAAGAAAACAGAAAAGAAATAATTAAAATACTGTACTCTAGTACCAGTGTTCATCTAACTCAGTACATCCCTTGGAGATACTCCCAGCTCTGACCTGGAAGTATTCCCACACAAGGGTGTGGGATGCTGGGGGAGGAAGTATTTCGATGCTCAAAAAAGAGTGACACTATTCATATCCATCCCTCTTCCTTCTCTAAAGATCAGTATGGCAGGTTTCACCAATCATGTTTGGTGGCAGTTCAATTCTTTGTCCTTTTCTGCTGAACCTGATTCCCCCAAAGACCCACAACAGCCTCTCCTAAGCCTTGTTCTACTACATTTTAAGAATGTTCAGTTTTACCAACACTTACAACAAAAAAAGAAATACCAATTCAATTTTTAAAGGATTTTATTAAATTTAATAAATAACTTCCATGATAACATTGTAAAAAGTGAACATTTGTTAAAATAAAAGGCACTTAAAATATGATTGTGGCTAGTACAGAACAGATTACAGAATACCCAGCAGCAAATATACAAGCCACAGTATCTCCTGATTCAGAATCATGCAATTTTAGCTATAGGATAAATTACAACCAAGATTGCAAAAATAAGCTGGTTTAACAATTATCTTACACAGAAATAAATCAAATACATTAAAGATAAAGTTGCTAAAGCACCAGGCTTTAAACTAAGCAAGAAATTTAAAAAGAAACCTAAGGAATTAAGGCGGTAAGAAAAACTTTCTCCTATTCTGTGCCCTGTATATGCTGGACTTTCAACTTCAAATATGATCAATTTTTTAAAAGTCCAGCACCTCGGGGTGGCACCAGATAAGGGGAGCTGATTTAAAAGGAAGTCTTGCAGTGTACTTGACAGTACTAAAACTAGAAATTGAATTTAAAAACAGGAATTATTATTATCATCATATCTGTTTTAATAATCTTTAAGCTCTTATTTTGGATCTACTTTTTATTCTTATACACACATAGTGGCAATTTAATATGTTTCTTACAAATGAAATTTGAAATTTAAGTTACATCATGTTTTCTACATTACTGAATACAGAAAGTTGGAAATTAAGTCTCAAATTGTTCATAAACTAATTTTTTATAGTTTATTAGTAAGTATTAGGTTTGCACTACTTGTGCAAGCCAAACCTTGATACATCTATAAGGCTAAAAACTGTTCTAATTGTAATACTTAATGTATAGGCAAATTGTTTATTAAGTGTTTCACTCCATACAAAAGACAGGGTAGATAAAAAAAGCACCTTGAGTAAGCTATCATCATATTGAATAGGATATGCAATCTCAAGTATTCTGTGAGTCTTCTGGCACTTTTATTTGCAAAAACAAAGAAAAAAACTTCAAAAATAAAATACTGTACATTTAAAAAAATTGCATAGGAAACAACTGTGTATGTAAGTAAGGAATTAGTAAATCCATTGCAATATTGTCAAAAGCTAAGTAATGAATACAAAACTATTATATCACACCCAGTGTTGTGAAATTATAAAGCAGTTTTCATTTCCCCTCATATTTAGGATTCACTACAGTTGTCACGGCACTCTTGTATATAGGATTTTCACCCTACAAGAAAGAAAGAAAAAATGATTTAATAGAATGAAAAAACAGTCAACTTATTGAAAAAGTATTTTCACATACTGCCAAGCCAATCTAGATATCCATGTGCATACAGGATTCCACAGTTCCTGCACTGGATCAACAAGATTGAAACAAGCAAGAAAGCCTCTTTTTTTTGGGGGGTGGGGGGGGGAAGAAATATTACAGATTATCTATCTAGCATTTTTAATTTTTACTACACATCATGTCTACCATAAATTATTCTTTAAATAATCAAGGGGCTAAAGGAAAGGCACTGCAAATAATCTATTCGTAAGAATTTCACAACACTTTAATGCATGATGATATGGGTGGCCATATAAATAAATATTAAAAGAATTTTGGGAAAAAGAAAAAAATGTTTTTCTTTACATGTCTCTATTGATTCCATATTTCCTCCAGTATATACATCCTTTAATTAAATTGGAAACTTTGGATGTATTTTTCACAGTGCAAAATTAACAGACATTGCTATATCAGAAAAAATCACAGCCAAGTGCTCCTTTATTACTCAAGTCTTTAATGATCTAAGTAAGATCAGCCATAAAATTAGTTTCAATGTGAACACAGCAAATCCATCCTTCAATATTGAGGAATAAAGCTCACAAACAGCAAACAGAAGAGAGGACTTGCGACTCACACACAAACCCTATATAGTAATCAGGTTGTTTAAGCATGGATGAATTTGTTCCAAATTACATAAATGTTGACACAGCAAACTGATTTGCAACTAATTCCCTATACTAAAATGCATTATATTATCAGACTTTAAAAACTAACATTGTACTGCAGCCAAAAATTATAGACTTCAATCCAGGATACTATTTTTGAACCTTTGCTAACTATTCTTTTTAAAGCTTGGGGAAAATGTTTTGTCTTTTTTCAAGATTATCATTCGCAATCATATAATCATATTCATAGCATCAGAGTAGTCAGAAATAAAAACAACAACAACTGAATATCAAATAATAAGAGATGGAATGGATATAGAATAAAAGAAATGAGAAAAAGTAAGAAAAGGAGGACATATATGTGAAGAATGCAGCATATTTACCTATACTATAATACTCTGGTTGTGGCACAAATTAAATTTGTACTATATAAACTATCAACAAAGTTCAATCTAATTATTTTCTATCTTATCCTGCTATTTTCAAGTTTGGCTGGAATAGAAATCAACATTCAAAAATAATTATTTTATATGTTGCCAAGACTGCCTTGTGCTGTACTCCATTTCCTGCCATTGATGCTTTTTTCTCTAAAGCATATATTTAGTTAGTGGCCATTGTCATAAGAGTCATCTGGGGATAGTGTTCTCGATCACTATTCTCAAGTAAACTAACTACCCAGCTAAAAAGAGTGATTTCAGTGACAATGTACTAAATAAATTTGTTCCATTAACAATTAGAACTACTTTAAATTAAGCTACATCATGCCTTGTTTATTTTACCAGATTTGAAGAGCATTACATCTCATATTTGCCAAGCCCTAAGGCTGGAAAAGGGCCAGAGCTCAAACATGTGATTAATATAATTTTGCATAGAAGCCCTTGTCATGAAAAGAAAGTGCTCTGGTTTGCATTTCCCACTTTTTTTGGTGGAGGTCTTTTGTTTTACTCATCAATGTTTCAGATTTTACTAAAGGGAGCAAAATGGGTTCTTAAATGTTTGTCCACTTCCTATTTATTTATTGGCTGCCCTTAAGTTTTCTTGCCAAAATTCTTCAGAAATGGTTTTCTGTTACCTTCTTCCTATAGCTGAGAAAAAGTGGAATATGCTCAAAGTCCAAAGACTACATGCCTAAAGCTAGAATTTGGTTTCCCAGGTTCTAACCCAGTTTATTATTACACTAAACTGGCTCTCTAAATTCTGTTACTTAATTCAAAGAAAGATGCAGCAATTAAAGGTGTTAGGAATCAAGCAATAATTAGTTAAAGCTGCATTCAGTAAACCTGAAGAAAAGCTCATGCAAAGAGAAAGAAATAGAAAAGAAAATACGAACGGAAACTTAGAGACCAGCTTTACGTCCATAGTTTGGATTCTTGAAATTATTAATAGGACTCTTGTATATTGGATTTTCTTGCTGAAGGTAGAAAAATCATCAATGTGGAATACAAAAGAAACAACATTCTGAAGAAAAAAGGTCGTGCTCTACTAACATAAAATTGTTAAGGTCCTTTAAGATTTAGGGTTGTATTTAATGATATTCAAATGAATAGAATCCTAATAATATCCTAAAAGAGAACAAAATATTGAGGTCTACAACCGGAAAAGCTTGGTGTTAATATTTAAAAGACTGAAAGCTTTTAAAAGAATTATGATAATATGTCTTTTTCAGCTTGGAATGATCTGGAGATGTACAGAAAACAAGTCTGATTAACATACATATTTTTATAAATTGATGCCTGAAATTTCGGAAGTATGCAAATTATCTTCAGATATGTATACCTGCTTAAGGTTATTAAAATAGTAACTCACCGTATCCCATTTTGCATTCATTTTTTCTTTCTCAAATTTTGCAAATTCTCTTCTATCGTGAATGATCATAAGTAACTTCCAAATCAGCAATAAAGCTAGACCAATAAGAACAATTCCAGCAACCACACCAGCAACAATAGGAATGATGTCAGGACCACTTGGGCATTCTAGCAAACAAAATAAATGAAGCATAATTATTAATACAGTTGGAATATGAAACATCCATCTAAATATATGAATAATTAATGCTGTTCTTAGATATGATGATTGCACAATCAGCCAGATATTTAGACTGGATTTAGCATTTTTATCTATTTGTTCTTCCCAAGGACCTGGAATAGATACTATTAATTAAATTTATATGCCGCCCAAATCCCAGCATATCTAAGTGGCTTACAACATTTTAAAACAAAAACAGAAAAGCACACAAAACCAACACAAGGCAAAAAAAAAATAGGGGAGGGAATGTTAGAGAATAGAAAGAAAAAAAAGGACAACAATTATCCTCTCTGAAGACCTTGGTGAAGAGCCAAGGCCTTTGAAAACTCCAACAGGATGGCAGCCTTATGAATCTCAGGGACAACCTCATTTTAGAGGGCATGAACTGCTACAGGGCAGGGGTGCTTCCAAGGCCACCTTGATGGCATTGTTCAATGAATGGAACCCAAAGTGCAGCAACCTTACCAAAATTAATTGATCAGGTAAATACAATGGGAGACAGGTGGCCCCTCAAGTATCCAGAATCTATGCCATGTAAGCTTTATAGGTAACGACTAACCCTTTGAATCAAAACCTGAAGAAAACTGCAGGTTGTGGAATAGTGGTATTACATAGGCATAAGAGGCATGTCTATTACTGCTGCATTCTGGACTTGCTGAAGCTTTCAAGTGGTTCCCAAGAGCAGCCCTACATACAAAATATTGCAGTAATCAAGCTGTGACGTGACCAGGGCATGACTGGCTGAGTCCTCTGATTTGCTGAGGAATGTGCAAAGAACAAGATGGGTGTTTGACCACTGATCAGGTTCACCAATCCTTTGGGCTGTTTCCAATTTAAAAATACCTGCATGGATTTATTGCTGAGTGAGAACTGGACAATTAGGCATAAAACATTTCTTTAGTAAAATCAATGGAGGTTGGGTGAAGGAGCCAATGAAGCAATAGTCACAAACTATCACTGATAGTTCCAATAGTCCTTTGGATGCATTTTGTGGGTATTCAAAAACATTCTCTTGTTTTTTTAAAATAAATATTATCTACTAAGAGTTGTATTTTAAATACACTATTTTTAGGGAGGAGGATAACAACACACATATATAAAATTCTGGATGTTATGAAGAACAAGAAATTAAATTAAGAATAGGGATAGGTAAACGGGATTAGGTTTAACCTTAAAGTCAAAACTGTCACTATGAGCACCAAAGCATACCTGGCGTCTTCACCACATGAACAATGGCCTTGTTATTTGAGTCAACAGAGTATGTAAAGTAAAACCAACAGTCATCAATATCCTTCTCCTTGCAGTGAGTCAAGGCATCATACTGTCCAGGCTGTGGCAACTTTTCTCTACGATCTACCAGCTCCAAACTAAAGTGTGAACATTCTTTTTCACACCGTTCTTTCTTTTCTCCTTTGTTAAAGGCTTTGCATTGGACACAATCTCTGTTTGCAAAGAAGATGAAGCACAAATTAGTATAATATCCATTTTATTAGGAAGGCTTGGCAAAACGGCAATTATAAAAGTAAATAAAAGCTTAAATCTCAGATTACTTAAACATAGTGCATTTTTCCTTCTGGCCTTGAATGCATTATCTCTTAAAGAAGATTCTGAGTGGTGTCACTTTTACCATACAAACCTATACTCAGTAGCCATTACCAAAGTAGATGTTTAGCTTGTATTAAAGCCACTCATTAAAGCAACATTTGAAAGGCCCCTCTGTTCAGAGGGAGAAGATGGAAAGAGAAGTATGGGGAGTGATCTTCCCCAAATCTACCAACTTATGCAGTACAAGATCTTGGGGGGGGGGGGGAGACATTTTCCCCAAGAATCATATTTTTGAATTTTCCCTTTACTGAAGGAAACGTCTGCTATAGCACCTGATCGCACTTCCCTTTTGGAAAAACAAAAGGCTTTGGATTTAAGACATTCATATAGTGTCCCATAATACATTATTCCTGGTAATACAGTATATTACTCCAGCAAATATTTTTTCCACTGAGATGGCACTTTAATGCTATTTGAAGACAAAAATGCTCACCCCTGTCCTGGGGTGATAGTTTGTTTATTTTATTTATTAAATTTCTATGCTACCTATCTCCCTTACAAGATGACTCTGAGCGGTTTACAAATCATAGAAAAATAGCTAAAATATTAAATCAACATTAAAATAATTATTAAAAACTGCACTAAAGCCACATATATAAAGAGCCAAGAGACAGATTGGATGGGGATGAGATCTTCTTACCGTATCAGCCACCTCCAGTGGCAAGTACCATCTCAGGATGCCAGGCCAACCAGCAAAACCAGGTTTTGATACCCTTTCAGAAAGCCTAAAGAGAGGGGGCAATTCCCACCTCTGGTGGAAGAATGTTCCACAGGGATGGGCCACAGCAAAAAAGGTTCTTCTCCTTTATCCCACCTGCTTCAATAGTTAACTTCTGCATGAAAATGCCTCTATAGGTTATATCACCCACTTAACAAGAGGACTTTTTTTTCTGTTATAGATTTAGTTTCTGGCTATCTGAATTCTAGAATGGCACTGAAAAAAGACCTGCTGCAGCAGTTTGTAATCTCATAAGAACCAGTTATTTTTATTACAAAATCAAAAATCTTACTTGTGCTCTGCACAGACGCCAAGACAAGTCTGACATAGCTCACATGTTGGTCCCTGAAATTTGGAATCGGTACAGTTGCATATTCCACATTCACATATTCCTCTACCATTGCAGATTTGTCCATTTGCAGCTTCACAAGGAGTCGTATCTAGGGGACACTCACAAGCAGAGCCAGTGTAATTTGCCCAGCATTCACATTCACGACATTTACATTCACCGTGTCCTAAATTTAAAAACAGGAAAAAAATATTTTAGTCAAATTTCAATATAAAAATGCATACTTTCCCCCATTTTCTGCCAATGGGATGGATTTGACAAGATTCTCAGGAGCTACTTAAAGTCACAAAGACTTCATGTGACTATTTTGATGTGCTTCTGAAATTATCCAGGTTATGACTGCAGATGACAAAAGATCTTAAGTCTTCAAATGGACTTAAGGCTATTGCACAGCGTCTTCATGTAGTGCTATTTTTGAGGGTGAATTCAGAAGAGTTTCTCATGAATAAAATGCTTTATTGCAGTTGCACAGAACTAAAATCCAGTTCTGACGTCTTATGAAAGCTTGCAGGAAGAACACTATTAGGCCTGATTATTTTTAGGGAAGAAATTCTCTTTACTAATAAAGAAATTCCAAAACAAGAAAAGTGATGATAAAAGCGTGCAACATCTGGCTATTTTGACATTATTTAAAATTCGTATGTTAATGGTGCTCAGGTTTTTCTGCCAAATTATGTCACTCCATATTGTACATACAACAAAACATAACAACATAGGTACATATTGTACTGTATACAAATTATCATCAACAGGATGTATATAGGACAGCATGCAAATATTTTTTTTTCCTTAAGAAACACTTTTATTACTGGGCTTATTATAAAGAATAACATTATCTTTAAATTGTCTTTTATGTACCATTGTTAAATATAAAACCTTTATTTTAATTGTCAGTTCAGTTGCCTGAATATTTTCAATCAATCAAATAAACTGCATCAGAGAAGTTATTCCTAATCTGACCTCTGTTTCTCTTATTCACTTAATTCTACTTTATCATAGTAGTTTCAAGCTTATGTTTTAAAGCTCCTTTGATAGAAAAGGAATTCATTACCTCCACAAATTAAACCATCTGATCGATCACATTTGAAGTTATCACACTGGCAATATGGGCCAGAATAGATTTCATTTGGATTCTCTCGCTTACTGCACACACACTGCCCACAAATACATTCACCATTGTTGCTACATATTTCAGAACTGTTAGCCTGCCTACAGGTGCCTGACATGTCTTCACTATTAACTTCCTCCATGCTGCATTCACAGTGATTTCCAATACGCCCAGGTTTGCACCTAAAAAAGGAAAATGGACCAAATTTAGCTCAGCATTATGTGCCTCATTGTGACCAACAAATGCAACTGGGCGGCTTCTAAGGGAGAAGTAGGATCTCCTCTTTCAATGTGGTTCTCCAGCAGCTGCTGGAATTCAAGAGGGATCATGCTGCCATTAAGATCTGTGCTGACAGATGGCTGGCCATCATAAATATATACATAAATATATACTATATACTATATATTTTATATATAGATAAAAATCATGCATTGTCTAAAAAAATGTTCGTTTTTAATTAGTTTCACAAAATGATCTCAAAGCGAGATAAAATGAGAAAATTTCTGCCTATCTATGTATGAGTGTGTGTGTTTGTATATATTATGGCTTGCATTTCTCTCCATCATTGTAGGCTTTTAGGCACACAATTATTCCTTTAACTCATAAGGAACTCTACTAGTTTCCTAAACATCTCAGCTAACTTTTTCTGAATTTGAGGATATGCTTCTACATAAAAAAATTAAGTTACAGATTTTTTCCCCCCCACAAAAACACAAAGTAGCGAAGTAGCATTCATATACCTGCAAGCTCCACACTCAAATGTTCCATTTCCAAAATGGCACAGAGGGCTGTCCTCAATTCCTTCATTATGGCAATCACATTCACAAATGAACTCCAGATTAATCTCTATTTCTTCAGTAAAACCAAGTGGTTTGATTTTAATTGTTTCATTTTGTCCTTTTTCTGGACATTGATTAGCTGTTATTGTAATCTCAAATCTAACCTGTAATGTAAACAATAAACAGGCAATTTGTTCAAACTGATCAAAAGAAACATATAGTATTATTTAGGACAATGCTATAATGTGACAATGGGCACATAAGAAGTCTGCATGACTTTGCACACCAAAGCTTACCTCATCTCCAATTGAAATGTTAGAGCACTTTCTTCCTTCATCTCCTGTTCCATTCACTCCGTTCTTACAGAAAGATTTATATTCTATTGCTATCTCCTTAGGTACTTTATTGTTTTCCAAAATAACTTCTGAAGACAATGACTAAAATAAAATTTGAACATTTAGATAGATGAACAGAATCTAAAAGAATGTGCAACTCCTGCAAAAGATATTTTAACAAAGTCCTTTCAAGGAAATATTGTGTGTGCGTGTGCTCACGCATGCGCACACACCCATCCATGTCTTCAAATCAGTACTGACTTCTGGCAACTGCCTTTTCTTGGCAATGTTTTCAGAAGTGCTTTGATCTTGCCTTCATTTCTCCTTGGGCTGAGAGAATGAATGGCTGGTTCACCCGACTGACTGTGTGCCTAAAATGGAATTCATACTCTGGTTTCTTGGATTCTAATGTGCCTTAACCACACCAAATTTCAAAGAAACTATTACAAAGCAACTATTACCTACAAATCTTGGCCTTCATAATCTTTTAACTAATGTTACAATCCAGTCAATCAATGTTTTAGAAACTCAAAAGAGATTATAATAAGAATTATTCATTTGGATGGACTTACATTGTAAGCATCAATGATCAGCTGAATCACGTTACTTGAGTTTGAAGACAGCATTCCCACTGCAGATTTAGGAATCAAATTCTTTAACTCCTTTATATACAAGGAATGATTTTTTGTTAATTCACACACATTATCATTTTAACCAACATACACACATACTTGATGCTAGGGATACCATCATTTACTGGTCTTCCTACTATGTGATGAAGTTTTCCAAATCCCCTTTCCTATCTTCTGTGTCCTCTATTATCACTATTACTCAATGGTAATAATCAGCATTACCCTACTAAAATTTGTGCCTTATTCTCCCTTCCATTTCCAATTTAAAGTCTTATTAAACTTAGGTATAAAGTAACTGATCAAGCATCGTATGACTTTTTGCAAAGACATTTTCCGTCCCCTAAGAAGTGCAGTTCATTCTTACTTAAAAGTTCCTCAACTGTTATAAACAAGTGATATAAACCATTGCTTAGGAATCCAAATTTTTCTTGACACAATCGTCTTGAGTTGTGACTTTCAAGATACTCCATCTCCTTCTTTTCCTTCCATCAACATGGAGGGCAACAACTTGCATTCAGCCATGTCTTTCTGCCAGCTGTTTATAACTCCACATAGAAATACAGAGTAAAGTCTTGTTTCTCATAAGAAGTATTGTCATCAGCAAGAGAAGAATGACAGATGCCTAGCATTAAATTATTCATAGGAACTCTGGGAAGAACTGGAAAGGTTTCTGTCACGTTCTGAGAACCCTCCAATAGATCATATCTTAGGAAAGATGGATGGAAACACTATATCTATTTCTTATTTCCCCCAACTCCTTCACTTTCCTGCCTAGGGCTTTATATTACCTAGAGTTTTTACTAGGCATTTAAACAAGGAGGTTTTTTTAAGCTATAGAAATGTACGTTATTTGATCATTACCTTGTACACTGGCTGAAATTCCTCTGTGACAGCAAATATTATCTGAATATTATTGTCACTTAGCTTCTGAACAAGATGAGCAATAGAGGGATAATCCTGAAGAACAAAGTTAAGATTTATGAGACAATATATTGAATATATATTTGAGTGCAACATATATAATACATTCTATGTACAATATTATATAAAAACAAGGCAGATAATAACTTTTTAAATAAGAATTGTAATTATTATCCCATCCATTCTAGCATTTTAAAAGAACTTTTGGTTGAATCTGCCCATGTGTTCTGCTAATCCTCTATATGTCCTACATTCTGGCTGTTACAATGTATGTTGTGTATTTGTAATAGTCTGTTGGATGTTTCTGAGATGTTTTTGATATATGATAGTGTTAACCTTTTCATAGCTTGTAGTGGCTGTGCTCTAGTAGACTTCGGAGTAGTGAAATGTCTGTAAGTAAATAACCAAACTCAGAGAGCACCAAGGACTCTACAATAGAGTAAAGTTGAAAAATATAAGAAGAAATATAAAACAGAAGAAAATTTCTATGGGTTATTAAAAATATTTTATTAACATGTGATTCCATGCATGCAAGCAAATATTCTTTTTATAATCCTTAAAGGTCTTGTAATCTTATTTTAAAAAATTGTATGTTTTTTTCCTTTCAAATTGTTATATAGCAATAAGGAATTGAATTTTTATTATACATTTCAAATTTATTTCATTACACGCACATGCACACACAATAAATATACCTAAATATTCTACCTAACATACTTACATAGTAATGGCTCATTGTGTACATATTATTTTCTAAATGACATTGTCCATCATTTGGTAAAACAATTCCTCCAAGCTTCCCGTCTCCAGCAAAATGGAACCCAGCATCCGTGGAAAAAACCAATAGGCGAGTGACATTTCTTCTCCATCCAATTCTTGACTGAGAAAGAAAAAGGAATTTGAAAGATCATATAAAATTAAAAGTTCAGCAGCCAATAAAACAGAGAAAAGAAATAATCCCTATATTCATGTATTGCAGAACAAAATGAAAGTTACTGATCTAATCAGCAGACAAGACAGCATTTTATTTTAAGAAGAAACAACTGTGCAAGTATTCTGAATTTTTTAATTGGATATGATGGCCCTCTGAGGCAGCTATGACCAACAGGAGTCAAAGAGGACATGAGATAAGACAAATGAATACTAAAATTGGACTTTCTGAGCAAAAATGATTGAACCACATGACTGAACCAAACTCAACAAAATAAAATGGCTAAAAATAAAATAGCAGAGATTCTTATGCTACATGTCATCCAAAATTACATTCAAACTTTACAGTTGCTGTAAATATCAGAAATAATATGCTGTAAATATCATGAAATAATAAGTTGTGAACTTGAAAAATCAGTTGCCAATTTTTATGGAAATAAGACCTGCACCAAATGCACAAGTCACATGAATAAAAGCAAATATATGTGTCCCAGGATAATATTGCAAGATCTAATCTGGGTTGGTCATTGGGACCAGAGGTTCAGACTTCTGAGCTTTCAGACTTCTCTCTAATGGAATGTACCCTGAGGACGGGCCCCAGCACGTGTCCGAAAGCTCGGAAGACTAACCCTCTGGTCCCAGTGACCGACCCAGACTGGATTCTGAGTAAAAATTGACCACTAGCTTTTTTTTTGACTTACCAAGAATACATATCTAAATAAATGAAAACAAATAAGCTGTGTTCATTTTTACTTATGCTGGATAGAAAAAAAATGTTACTCTTGGTGTATTTACTCAGAAGTCTATCAGGATTATTTGTTTGACTAGTTTGAATCAGCTAAACTAAGTAGCCTTAAACAGTAAGAAGATGATTTATTAGTTTATATAAATAGCTCACGGAATAATGTGGGAATTTCGATTTCACGAAAATGAACTCCACTGGCAATAAGTTATTGTAAAATATTTTTTTATCTTAAATGCAGTAAGTCTTCTGAAGGAGACAGCATTTTTCCTTTTACAGGAACAAAGTGAATATTCTCAAGATTTATACTGAGTGATATGTATAAAAAAAGAATTATAGCCATTCTGAAGAAAGAGAGCTTGTGATTATTGGGATAAATGTGCAGAGGAGTGCAGGGACTGTGTCCACACATGGGGACTATTACATAAAATATATGCTACTTACTTATATGCTTCATGTTATGCACATAAGCAGCTTCCTATCTGCATGCAAACTTTTTCTTTCTCTTTTCAGTGTATCTATACTAACATTACTTTAGGTCAATTGGACTTAATATATTTTCTACTGTTTTATATTATTTCCTGTTATGCTTGTATGTTTTAATAGCAATATCTATAACACTTAAACTTATATACCATTTCATAATACTTTACAGCCCTCCCTAAGCGTTTTACAGAGTCAACCTATTGCCCCCAACAATCTGGGTCCTCATTTTACTGACCTCGGAAGGATGGAAGGCTGACTCAACCATGAGCAAATGAGCATCGAACTGCTGGCAGTCAGCAGTCAGCAGAATTAGCCTGCAATATTGCATTCTAACCACTGCGCTATCACGGCTCTTATGTTTTAATCTTTTTTTTGGGGGGGGGACAAAGGCCCAGTGATTAAAGACACTGAGTTTGTCAGCCTGGGATCACGACCCAAGCGTTGTGCGAAGGGGCAAGCTCCCATTACTTGCTCCAGCTCCTGCCCACCTAGCAGTTTGAAAGCATGCAAATGCCACTAGATCAGTGGTTCTCAACCTTTTTAATGCCGCGACCCCAACCGGTCGTAAGTCGAGGACTACCCAACCGGTCGTAAGTCGAGGACTTTCCCTGCCCGGGAGCGCCGCGCATGCATGGTTCCGCCCCCTGAGCCGGCCGAGGCGTAGCTGGCAAGCGGCAGAGACGGGGCAGGCCGACCACCAGCTGGCCCAGCCCAAGGGAGGTAAGGCACCCGCCGGAAAAGGGAAAAAAAATGGCGGACAGCCTTGCTTGGCGACCCCCGTGAAATGGTCGATTGACCCCAAATGGGGTCCTGACCCACAGGTTGAGAACCACTGCACTAGATAAATAGGTACTTCAGTGGGAATGTAGCAGTGTTCTGTGCACATTGGTGTACAGTCATGCCAGCCACATGACCACGGAAATATCTTTGGACAGCACTGGTTCCTTTGGCTAAAAACAGAGATGAACATCAGCCCCTAGAGTTGGACATGATCAGACAGGGGGAACCTTTATCTTTAATCTTTATATATTTTTATTTTTATGGTGTTGTAGGCAACCCAAAATCATTTGATAGTGAGATAGGAGGAATATAATTTAATAAATAAATACAAAAAACCAAAGGATTTTCTGTCATTTTTCTATTCTTTTAAATTATGTATTATACCATATCCATAAGGTATAAATGAAGAACATAAACTGTATTATTGGTTATAGATAAACACAATATAGAATTATTTTTCCTCAAGAATGGTATCCTAAAAGTCACCTTCAAATTCTGATTCATTTAACCCTATTGACAACCATTTTTATATAAATCAATTACCACATAACAAAATAATAATAAAAACATGAGAGGAAAAGTCAATAATACTTACACCACATACAGCAACCTGCATTATTGCATCAAATCCTCCTTCTGGAGAATCCAAATTGCCTGAGATTTGCTGTTCCCCTACAAGTGTATTGAACCAGCTCCCATTGCTGGTGAAGTTGAGCACGTTCCTGTAGCTAAAGGGACTTGTACAGTTAAGATCACCTGTGCAGGGATTCCTGAGTTTGGCAGGTGTGGTACTAATATAAGGCATTACTGTTTTTTCAACAAAAGAACCAAAGCCTAAAAGAAAGAAGAAAAGAAATAACATAGGCAAATAGACAGTTCGTGCCTTGCAAAGCTTTTGTTGCTGGCAATCCTAGCAGAAGCACTGCTCTCCAAAAGACCACAAGAATTAATATTGGGCAAGTTTTTGGTCTATGTGATTTATCTTAAAAAAGTAGAAATGATTAGCTATAAAGAATACCAAACCATACTTTATCATACTAGGAATGAATAAAGTCTATGGTTAAGGAAATCAACATTACTACATTAAATAAACCTTAATTCTGCTTTCCTTTGTAGGAATTTTTCAGAGGTTTGTTCAATTGTCAAAACCAAATTCCACATTTATAGGGAATCTACTTGCATTATCAGTAATTAGAATAGAATCACTAGAATATACTGTGCTGTAATTTGCGTCTGTTTTTCAGCAGGTTAGGGATTCAGCTATGAAAGCAATCTCCAGATGCTCACTTTTGTAATACCAAAATTTATTGCTAGCTTGACATTCAAGGAATATTTATGTCATAAGTTGTATGCAATTTCTTCCTGATGCAGAATATCATAGCTCTCTAAAAGAGGCATCATAAATCACTTTTGTATTTGCAAACTATTTATATTATATGTTATATCAAATTGAAAAAAAGAACATAATTTATGCATAAGCAGATTCCATACCAATTCGAAAATCTGAAGTTATATTTTTCATTTTACTCATCAGAGAGGTTCCAAGACTTTTGACATTTTCCAAATCATCTTTCATAGAGTAAGACAGATCCATGAGGTAATAAAGGTCAATTGGATAATCTTCAGCTCTCTTGAATTTTAATGAAAATGTTTGTGGTTCCCCTAATCACAAGAAAGCAAAGTTAAGCTAAATTCCAAATGGCAAAGAATAAGAATACAAGTATCTTTATCATGAAAGACATCTAACAAAAAAGCTTGAAAGAAAAATATTATCTAGTTGTTATAGTTTTTGCATAAGTATTACGCTATTGAGTCAATTTGAATGCTGTTTATTTCAGAAAGTCATTCAGATATGAAGTCATAGATAAAAACTACTTATTATGAAACTGGAGGTCATAATTTGGATTACCATAGCCTCATATTATAAATTGCAAGTATGTAAATCTAACTTAGGCATGCAACACATTACTGAGAATATGTTTGCAAGAAAAGCAACATTAAGAGGTATCAATAAAAGCGATACCAACATTCAATAATTAATGTGTGACATATGTACACATCACAATGCACATATAATTTATTATAAACAAGTAATATCTATTGAACCGTTTCTTCCTAAGGATTGGCTTTATTACAAAAATTCTACAGGTAGTTCTTGATTTCTGACTGTTCATTTAACAAGCCTTCAAAGTTATGACGGCACTGAAAAAAGTGACTTATAATCAGTCCTTGCACTTACAATTATTGCAGCATTCCTGCGGTCCTGTGATCAAAATGTGGTACTCGGTAACCAGCCTATTTCTATCATGGTTTCAGCATCCTGAGATCACATGATTGACATTTGCAACTTTCCCAAGAGGCTTCCGACAAAACCAGTGGAGGAAGTCAGATTCACTTAATGATTGTTTAATTCGCTTAGCAACCATGGCGAAAAAGGTTGTAAAACTGGGTGCGACTTACTTACTGACCACATCATTTAGTGAAGGAAGCTCTGGTCCCCATGGTGGTTGCAAGTCAAGGACCACCTGTACAGAGAACTCTATCTAAAATATATGCTTTTAAAAATCATTTTTGGCTTTTTCTCTCCCTTGTCTATCATCAAAAGGCTATTAAAGGTAGCTATCAAACAATAAATAAAACAAAACATTAAAACAAAGGGTGAAGTTCAGTTAACATTAATAAAATATATAAATCATTAAAATGATTTTTTCAAAATTTTAAACAGATTTTAAAATCAGAGTTGTTTGTTGTTTTTTAAAAAAAACCAACCTAATGAAGTGGGGTGGTCAAATACATGGCAGATCGTTCTATGATTTGGGTAAAAAAAAAAGAATTTAACAAAAACATAAATTTATTCTGTAAATAAAATTCCATTTGTGGGAAAGCTGCTCATGTGGCTATGATAAATTTATGGAAATGATATAAAGAATTCTTACTGATTTATAAATTTTGATTGAACCATGATGGGGAAGCATAGCAGCCTAGAAAAACTATGCTTTACAGATCATAAATTACATTCTGAATTGACCTGTAAGAAGGCGCCAAAAACTGCAAGTTCTGGAAAACAGCTATAATCCACTATTAGCAAAACCTTTTTGGCTTTACAAGCAGATCATTATTAACTTTGCTATAGTGGTAGCAGTGGAATGCAGGTAATTTATAGTTCTGGTTTTATTACATCACCTCCACTTCATCTATTCTTTGGGCGTTCCCATTCCCATATATTTTATCTATTAACTAGAAGCATATACACATTTTTCTTTAAACAATTCCTAAGCCTGGGGGGGGAAAATATTGACTTTTTCAGTCTCAAATTTCGATTTTTGCATTTATTTCAAAATTAATCATGAAAAGCAAATGTTCTAAAAATTATATTATGTCTTGTTTTATGAAGTTATTTAAATCGGTACGTTATTTCTTCAATACACTTGATCCTAGCCAAAACATCGAGAAGCGATAAGCATAAACAAAAATAATAAATAAACGAGTATTTGAAGACATGAGATACTGTTTGACTACCACTTTAAAATTAAGGGAATAAAAGCTGTGATAAAAATTTTGAAACAACAAAAAAACGTAAGTTTTCACAATAAAAGATTCCTTTAAATGACCACAAGTTGAGATACTGACCAGCGCTAACCTAGGTTCATTATGTACATGGATCTGTCCTGATCTCCCCGCTGTGAAAACAATTTTTATAAATATGTTTACCTTTCCGCAGCTTCAACAGCACTTGCTGTGGTTGAATCTGGGTAATATCTTCTGGTCTAAGACTTTCAGCCGTCCCTTTGATGCGATTTGTGACTTCTTTGTTTTTTAGCAATATATGTGTGCCTCTGGGGTTTTCAATTTCTTCTGGAGGGCAGCCTTTACTTTTTAAAGCATCCAAGTCATCACATCGTGCTGCAGTAGATTCTCCTTCTTTCAAAAAGGTCTAAGAATTATAAACAAGATTAATACAAATTACACATGCTGTATTTGTATTGTATATTTGTATTGTTGCATGTATTTAGCTATATGCAATACTGCTTTCAAGAACCCAAGATGCTGTAATATTCTTCACTATTAAAAGTCAAATATGAATTAAGCTTTTAAAATGCATATAGTTACTTGGATACAATCAAAGATTTAGTGAGATCTGCCTCAGCTGTGCACATCATACATTTTCTGTTTAATAGTCTTAGATACGTTTGAAGGCAGTTGCTTGAAAAATAGTATGTAATGAAGTAACAAAAATGCAGTATGTAATTGAAAAAAGGCACAATAAATTAATGTTGGCTGTAAAGTTATGGCTTCAGGCAAGAAGCCACACTATAAAAGGCATGGGCTTTGAAGCTATGACAAGTGGAGCCCAAAGAATGATTTCATGTTCCTAAGGAAGGGCACATGGAGGAGAAACACCAAAGCATAAGCCAGCTGGGCCTCTGCCAGGAATATGCTTCCCTCCAGTACTAAGAGAACGCGGCAAGAATTACACCACACAGAAGACACAATTAGAACCCACAATTACTAGTGACCAGATATGATGGCTCATGGGCTACTTTTTGGCCCGATATTCAAGATGGTGGCCATGACACTGAATCATACAAGGATAGATGTATGCAATTGTAAGCAATAGAAATGTAGCTTTGTCAAGCATTTCACAATGTGGAACTATAATTTCTTCTGAAGAAAATGGGGAAGAACGTGGAAATGTAGTACCCTGCCTCTACAAAGATGAAAGTGTGCTGCTTTTCCCTATGAAAGGAATAAAATGAAATTCACAACTCTAAAATCCTGCAATCAAGTCAGACTGTTAAACTGGATTTCATGAAGAATCAAAAAATAATCTCATCCAGCTGTTCTCCATGTTGACTAGATAGCATTTTTCTGGAGCCCCAGGCACAGAGATCTTTCTCATTATCTGCTTCTGATCCTTTTCAATTTCAGGTGGTAAGATACTGAATTTAAGAATTTCTACATGCAAAGTGTGACTTCTTCCAAAGAGGAGCGTTCCTTTACTAACATTTTGGGTCTTACTCTCCTTTCTTCTCTTCTTCACAAACAAACTAGCAGAAAAAAAACCATAGGCAGCCTACATAATTTTACAAAAACAGAATAGAACAGCCTACCATGATAACTGATTTCAGAGAACTAAGCTCAAAAGTCAGTAATTTGTTTCTGGTTATGTTCACTACAGAGCCGTGGGAAGTGTTATACAATTAGTTTCATTCATTCCCTCTGTATAAAAACTTTTATTGATTAAAAATCAATAATAAAAATTACAAACTAAACTCAAAAAGCAAAAGAAAAATAAAGATGACAGGAAGGTGCAAGAAAAAAGAAAAAAGGGAGCGAGGGGAAAAGAAAGAAAATATGTAAAGATGCAACTTCTGACTTTAATCACAAAAAATAGAAACTCAGTAATTCTTTACTCCCTGAAAAGTTATGTACAAGTATCTCTTTTTCTCATAACCCATCCCTTATCTAGACACAAATCCCTAAATCATTAACATTTCAGTCCTAGTGTCAGCAAATCCCCGTAAGGCTTCCCAGAATTTTATAGAAACAAAGTCTTGTTTGAATCTTAATTAATCAATTTTGAGTTCCTTCCTTTTCCTTCTAGTAATTTTCATCTTCATTCAGAACATGTTGTAGGATTTTATTTATTGTTTTTTCTTCCCATCTCAAAGGCTTCTTCAAGACTTTGGCAAACCTCTTTTCTTAATCCATTCTCCAAGTCTTGTCCTTTGTCCACTTCCTTGGTTTGTCATTTATGTTTCTACTATTAACTGTCGTCTCTGCTTTATAATCCACATTTTTAAAAGTTTGCCAGTATTTCAACAATTCCTTTATATTATATTATTTTCTAATATTCTTGCATGACGTGAGTTTGTTTCGGCTCTTTATCCTGTAGATTTTTTAAGGTACTCTCTTCTGTTGTTACTTCTATAACATCTTTTGAACCTACTTTTATCCATAGAGGCAGACTAGTAATCCTAGTAAAGCATGGCGTAAATAACCAGTTTAATACAAGGCTGTAAACCCTTAAAGCTTACGATGCCTAGTCAAAATAGGTCTCTTGTTAGACACTACAAATAAACAAAAAAAAAATCTCCCATTCATAGCATCTAACTAGTTCCTGCATTAAAAGCCAGCAAAAAGTACCATCAGAATAGTTCAGTGGTGGCGAATCTATGGCACGCGTGCCAAAGGCGGCACTCGGAGTCCTCTCTGTGGGCACGGGCTCCATGCCATGGCAACCGTCCCTCTTCAACCAGCTGCCCGCTAACTTACCGAGGTCCCATGTAGCCGGATGCATCCCAGCACGGGTGGTTTTCCTCCCCCTGTCTCATTCCTCCTGGCCTCGCATGCTCTCCTTTTCCCGGGCACGACCCACTGCATCACCTCCTCAGCTGTCGGCCGTCTGTCCAGCTCAGAGGCGGCTTCTCTGAACTTCTAGTGGCGGGCTGCGGAGCCCCAGAGTGCGCTGGTTGAGGGGCCGGTAGGCTGTGGATGCTGACAGACACTGTTGGTCCCCATGCACTCGCTGGCCTTTGTATGCGGGGGGGCGATGGTGTCAGGAAGCAATCGCCCCGGCCCCTGCCTCGCTTTGCCCTGCGACAATGGCACCCCCAGGCCTACCTTGCCTCACCTCTGCCCCACATGCCAGAGACACCCTGGATCTCCCTCAACCCTGCCCGCTCCCACAGGTGTCCCTCCCCACGAGCAACATCGAGGTGACCATGCCCACCTTGACCACACCCACACAGTCTGCCATGACCACCACAGCCACGCCCACCCAGTGGGCCATGCCCACCTGGCACCCGGTGATAAATAAGTGGGTTTTGGGTTGCAGTTTGGGCACTCAGTCTCTAAAAGGTTCGCCATCACTGGAATAGTTCATTAGTTCACTTGTTAAAAATGTTATTTTTACAGTCTGACATGATGGATATAAATTCTTGCAATTGCCAAAAAAGTATAGTCACAGAAGCAGGAAACACTACAGATTATATCTGTGAAATGGACCAACTCACACATATTGATCTTCTAGATTTATTTAAAAATAGTGGAAAATCTCCAATAGACAAAGGTTTCCATACCTCAGCTTTAAATTTGAGATATAGAAATACAAAGCTGGGTTGCAAAACATATGTCTGGGCTGTATCATTTCAGTTAATAAGTCAGGATTCACATGATAAATTGCTCCCCAAACAAGAAGCAAGGAATCTGAGATGAAGCCTAAGATATACAGTATATAAATTTTTTCCCAATCTGGAAAATTAGGCTTATAAATGAGGAATCAAAATTTAAGAAATTTCAAAATTCAAATTATATTTCAAATGAATGCAAAAGCTGTGGTATCTTTGTCCAATTGCATTATCTGTATCTAAAGTCACTGCCCTTCTAATGTGACAAGGAGACTATAATTAAATTCAGACAGTGTGACTCCAGAGAAGCATGGTTTTTAAATAATCATGAGGCAGCACTATAATACAGACAGAAAAGGCCTGTAGTACAATTGCCAAATGAAAGGACAAAGTTAAAGGAGAATATTTAAACAATATGTTCTTCACCCTGATTATGAACTGTAAATAATGGGTGATTAAAAAAAAGATTAGAACCGGTTTTGCATTTGAAAAGGTCTCAGCTACTTTGCATAAATTCAAGAAAACTGCGTAGTTCCAAAACGATTTCTGATCAAACTGTACCACTCTTAATATTTATTTAATTTAATTTTTATTTATTTAATTTAATTTATATACCGCCCTTCTCCCGCAGGACTCAGGGCGGTGCACAGCATATTAAAACAAGTACAAATACAAAATACAAAAAATATAGACCCCTATAAAACCAAATTAAAAACCAAATATTAGAAGCTGTTATAGATACCGGATATACCATTAATGCAAGCTAAATAGCTTTACTCTCTGAGGGCCCACACACAAAAAACCAAGCAGAAGCATTTTCCTAAATGCTCAAAGCATAAAGCAAGAAACCTCTCTGCCTTCAAATGGATGAGGGTTTTGTTGAGTCTTGTCAGAACAAGAAGAGGGAACAGATATATCTATCTTCAAATTTCCAGACCTGCAGTGGTGAATGAAAGGAAGGAAAAAACTGGAACATAAAGGTCTGAGGAAAAAAAATCCTTTCTCTTTGCATGTGCTGAACGTGATTTTTCTTCCTCTAAGGCTAGATCAGGGGTAGGCAACCTTGGCTCTTTTATGACTCGTGGACTTCAACTCCCAGAATTCCTGAGCCAGTCAGGAATTCTGGGAGTTGAGGTCCACGAGTCATAAAAGAGCCAAGGTTGCCTACCTCTGGACTAGCTACCCCAGGAGAAGACTCTTAACTAGCATTATGATTTTTACACTCTATTGATACTATAAAAGCTGATTTTCTTCTCTCCCTGCCTGTTAAGTATTCTGGAAAGTTAGGATTGTTTATCCAACTAATGTTGTGGAAGAAGTCATCCATAACTCCCATTACCTCTAGCATATGGCTACCCAGTGCAATCTTGAATCTTTTCAACAAGAAGGCAGTAGTAAGGATAGAAGGATAACTTACCAGAAAACAGATAAGACAAACATAGCCAATGAACTCAAATCTCCTTGTTCATATCTTTGTCTAAAACAGTTCCATTAGTTGGCAAAGGCAACAGTTCCATTAGTTGGCAAAGGCAAGCATTCTGTTGGTGTTCTCTGCCCTCATTCCCTTTTTTAGTTTATTACAGGCTTTTCCTAACAGCTGGTCACAAAACCACAAAAGACCAAGTCAAATCTCCTGCAGAAATCTAAATTTATTCTAAGCGAAAGCACCATGAAATATCACTCTGCAGCCTGTTCCTAAACACATTTAATAAAGAAAATACTCCATCAGAATTTCTAACCCTGCATAAGTTAAATTATGGTTCAGTTTTTGGATAGAATTCATTTTATAATTGGTCTTGGTAGG